TATGTGAAATATTTTGGATAAGACAACATATAATCATGGATATTTTTAAAATCTTCAACTTAAAAGCAACAGTTATCGTCATCTCATGTAATATGTCAACATCAAAGGCTCGAAACCTACCCAAATTGCGGATGACTAGGCCATAGTCAACCATTCTAGCCCACTGTGGGTTGACGTCACACATATCTTTGAAATTGTTTGCAGATATGTGGAAGTTTCACGCTGTTTCCATACAATGTAGGAACGACGGCTATATTAACATGAAGCAAAGAAAACAAGTAAACAATTCAAATTAGATAATTGCTTAAATTTATTATTTGTAATATCTCGGAAGTGGTTAATGTCAGATTTACCGAATCGACTTTTGTTTAAACGTATTTTAGGAAAATCGTTTAAGCGTAATTCACTGCCTACCAGCCAATAAATAAGACGAATTTTGCTGTTTTAAACAACAAACAGTTAATCCCCGTTGGCTATAGCTTGCCTTTATAACCGCGTAACTGCTAAATTACAACGAAAATTAAAAATAAATTGATAACAACTTTCTGAGATACCTTGTATTTTTAGGAAATCTATTTATATTAACATATTTATTATTATTAACAGAACGTTTAAATATTACACTTTTACTATTGAAGACAGAATTTCTGTATCAATCTTTGTAGCCAAAAATACACACTGCAATAAATCTAACATAATAAATAATTAGAATTTAAAAAAGTAGTTGTTATTTTTGGTTATAAACAATTTAAAACAACGCAACTGATGTTAATGAAAAATATTTTCTATAAGATTAGAAAAAAAATCTTTGCTTTAGTAAAAATAATGACAAATAACATAAGGTTGATTTAAAACTTGACCACAATCTAACGGTGTAGCAGTTTCGTAGCGGTGCTACGTTAATTGCTTTTTATTACAACTCATTCAGGATGTCCTGTTTTCTTGTAACACATAAAAGATCTTCAAAATCTCTATGTTTACTAATATTACAAAGAGGAAAGGTTTGTATTTTTGGATTCTCGTATGTATTTGATTCACGAAAAAACTGCTGGGCCGATTTAAAATATACTTTCACCTTTAGAAAGACAATTTAACTGTGAATAATATAGGCTATAGTTGTTATTTTAAATTTTACGATAATATTATAAATGTGAAAGTTTAGATGGATGGATGTCTGTTAGAATTTGTAGCCTAAACGGCTTAACGGATCCGGATGAAATTTGGCAGTGATCTAGAGCACAGTCTGGAAGAACTCATAGGCTACTTAGTTTCGTTTTTTTTTAGTCGCGGTCGAAAGCTAGTTGCAAATAAAAGCGAAAACAGTTCTGAAGATATTCTCTATATAACGATTATAACGCTCGAGTAACAAGTTAATAGTGCCGCCAAACTGACGGGTTTCTTTACTAAACATGTTATCACTCGCAGCATAATAAAAAAATATTTTATCTCATCTGTGGGATGTTACGACTACTTTAATATTAACTACATCATTTTAGGCTACGGATTAACTAATTTTTTATCCTTCATTTTTTGTGTCGTGCTATAAAATGTGCCATTTATTTTAATTTCGAAGACGTCTCCATAATAAGTTTTTATTAAGTTCTATAGGATTTATCTTTAACATACTAATCTATATCTATACTATTATAATAAAGCGTAAACACACACTTCTTTGTTGCCTAAGATGTCAGCAATTACAGCATATTTTTGAATGATTCTTTTATTAATAAAAAGCCCTACACTTACGTCACGCTTTAGGCTATATATTTTCACGCCTTCAAACTAAGGCGGTACATAAATCGAAAAAAACATCATGTGGGAAAGAGACCATAAACTACATTCTGCCAACATCAAAAGATCAAGGTTGTCATTTATGGATTTGAATTTTGACATTTGACAAATGTAAACAATAAAATGAGTTATTATAATTTCATGCTGATGAATCCGGACAGGAACAGCTAGTTATGTTATATTTTGCTTCTTTATGATTTTGAAAAATTGTTTATAAATAAATGAATTAAAAATTCTTTTCCCATAGGATAAAGGAATTTGATTTATTAGTTAAACGTTAACAGAATAAGGGTTTTAATTTGTTGCGTTTTCTGATTGCAATTCTCAATAGACTTCGAATGAAATAAAAACAGGGAAATGGTGTATTTAAAGCGTTGTCGGAGTCGAGCTTCAAATAGAAAAATACAACAGTTTCTTGGTATATTTGTGATTGGAGTAACTACAGTAGAACCTCGATAAGTTAAAGTCCAAGGGAAACACAAAATATTTTAAGTATAGAGTTTTGAAGTTATCAAGAGTCTATGATGTAGAGGTTTTGGACTCTGATGGGAACATATTATTTTTTTGAAGTTATAGAGGTTTTTAAGTTACCGAGGTTTGAGTTATCGAGGTTCTACTATATTATTTAACACTGACTGTTGATCTCGTCTTCGTTTGCATGGAAAAAATATAAATATAGCAAATGTTTTTGAGTTATTCCAATAAATATAAATTTTTCCTCTTTATAATATAACTAAGTATATTTTTGATTTATAATATATTATTAAAACATCAAAGAAAGTTACTTTAAAAGGAATCGTTGAGTAGTAAATATTATTTTTGACGTAGGCTAGCTTAAGGATTATTTCGGAATTACTTCTGTTTCTTAAAATAGAAATAGATAACGTGTAAAATACATACATTTATTGGTAATAATTAATAGTAACAATCTATACTATTATAATAAAGATAATAGAAAAGATGTCAGCAATTACAGCATATTTTTGAATAATTATTAATAAAAAGCCATACACTTACGTCACGCTTTAGGCTATACATTTTCACGCGATTAAACTTAGGGGGTAAATATTTTGTATAAATACCCTAATGTGGGAAAGAGACCATAAGTTGCTGCCAACAACAAGGAAGTAAGGTTGTCATCGTCATGTCATTTTGACATTTGCAATTGATAATTTGACACATGTAAACACTAAAATAAAATTTTCATAATTTTATGCGGTTGAAGTCGCACGGGAACAGCTAGTTTATTAATAAATCTGTGTTACGATTTTTAATATTTTAAAAGTATTAGTCTGCGGTGGTTGGTTATTTTAAAACAATTATTAAATGTAAACAACTTGGAAGCAATAGGAGTTGGTAAACAAGACAATTCCAGCCACAGGGCGGTACCGATTAACACTTCAGCTAATGGTTATAGCGAACAATTGTAACTGCAATTTCCAATACATTAGTTTAGCTTTTAATCTATCTATATACATAAAAAAATAGAGTGTCTGTTTGTAATATCAAGAGAAAAACTCCAGATATCGGGAAGAAAATTTATTTGCGTTGATGATAACGAAAATCGCATTTAAAAATTTTCTGTCTGTCTGTGTGTCTGTCCGCAAGCAACGTTTATTCCTGATAATCTCCGTAACAGCTGGTCCGATTTCGACCAGACTTTCACTGAAGGGTAGCTGACATAGACGGGTATATTATAGGCTTCTTTTTATTGCGTGGACGAAATCGCGGGCAACAGCTATAGCTCTAACAGTATGAAAATAAAACTGTTTTTATTAAAGTCATCTGAATTGATTTTGACTGTGACTTATATACTAATATTGTAAATAAAAAGATTTGTATTTTTATGTAATTAAACTTAAAAATAACTGGATCGATTTCTAAAACTCTTTCACTATTAGAAAGCTACATTACAACTGAGTGGCATAGGCTATATTTAGAGCACACACACACCTTTGACTAAACTATCGCACAACCGTTTAGTCGCGCTTTGATTTGTTGCACACTACTCGATTTTTAGTTGTGCAACCGTCAATCGCACAATTGTACTATAGTTTAATCAAAAGTGCGCACCCGCTCTGAATATTTTTCAATTCCGCGTAAATTAACCACCTCTTTGACTTAAATTATTAGTGCCATCGTCTATCCTCTTTGTTATAACAATGTAGTAACGGAGGGTAAATCCGTAGGCGAAAGTTGTTGAAAACTTTGCGAAAACTTGAAGAAACAAGTAAATGACGAAATAGCCTGAGGGAGTCAGTTGCTCGGTTTGACTTTTTTATTAGTTTGTTTGTGCACTGTTCGTTTCCTGTATTGTATATATTTTTAGTACTTGGGCAAATTATTAAATTTATAATTATAGTATGTTTTGAAGATGTGGAAAAAAAATCAATCAAACGTTTTTTTAGACAATTGTAAACTGGAGACTGTTTTTAGGTATGCGGGTTCTGGAGATTTCGAACAAAACTATTTTTAAAGGAGGATTTTCTTTTCTTAGATTATTACTGATTAGAGGTATCATAAAAAAATAGGGTATTTTATTTATTTTACTGTAATGAAAAAAGTTATAAAGGTTTAATTACTTTAATAATTTGTCTCCGCATTTCTTGTAACGTTTAAAAATATAGTTTGTCGTTAATTTGAGCATTACTTACGTAATAACGTACTTAAAATGCCTATTAAATTGTCCAGCACACGAAAAGAGCGATTCATTTGCAAAAAAACATAATTTCTCAGACAAAAAACGCATACGACCCTAATCAAAGGCGTAAGACATTAAATGCTTACTAATATGTACACTAAAATATCCCACACAGAAAATAAAGCTGTATTCATGTCACCAAACGTTTGTAAATTTCGTCCTTGTGTGATCTAACTAAACAATATATTTTATACTTTTGTAAACAGTTGAAATTACGTTAAGTTTGGGTAATACTTGATTTTCCAAATTAAATTCGTCAAATCATGACTTGATATTTTTTTTATGTTCAAATTAATGTTAGAATAACATATTTCCAAGTCAGTTTGTTTATTAAATAAAAAAATAAAGTTTTAAATTTTTTTCAATTCTCAATATTCTGTCAATTTTGACATGACTAGTGAAATAATGGAATAACTTATTTGGCATTTGTTCGGTGGCATGGTATTCTGCGTACAAGCCGTGTACCGCACGCCGCTATATAAGGGCTGGTTTGACGGCACGCTAAGTAGATACCTGAGTTCCGTTGACTGTGACTGACTCGTGCAAACGGACACACATCGCGAAATGTAAGTCGAATTTTATAGTAATATATTTCATGTTTATTAAAAAATATTAAATAAAGCGGAATCAGCTCTTGTTAAACGGTTACAATAAAATTTTAATTTTGTTTTTAAATTCGATCGCATTTTTTTTAAATTAAAGACCACTTTATTGTACAATTATAAATTTTTTTTTTTTTTTGAAATTACCTTTCCTTTAATTTCATAACTTCACAAGTATCGGTACATATTAAAAATATAATTCAAATATTCATTTTTGTATTACATTTAGAAGTTAAATAATTTTAAATTCCCATTTTTACGATTGCATCGTTAATTATAATAAAAAAAGCTACCAACTAATCAAAAATATTTAAACGATATAAGTTGGGAAGTTTTGATTTGATTGTAAATCGGGAAGGTAAATTTGTAAAGTTTTTGTTTACTTTATCAGAATACTGGCGTCAACTCTCTGGAGGATTTCATCTTTGCCAATTAAACAGCCGCTTATTTATCACTGCTTTTGTAATTTAAATTTCAATCCAACGGAGACAACATGATATATCCTAATCATTATCATACTAATATTATAAAGAGGAAAACTTTTTTTCTAATGGGCTCAAAAACCATTGGACCGTTTTAAAAAATTCTTTCACCATTTGAAAGGTGCATTATCCACGACAAATTTATTGGCGAGTGGAGCCGCGGGCAATTGCTAATTACGTATATCTTGCTTACTCTATATATAATTTACATAAATTTAATTTATTCGCTATACTCTATATTTGTACATCTTTAGTCGGGCAAGTGCTATAGCAGTGAGAACCTACATTAAATATTAGGATGTTAGCTAGCATTGTACTAGGATTTAGCTCTCAGTTTCCACTGTTGTAAATTTAAACAAAGTATATTATACAAAATAACAATATAAGTTTGTGTTTAGACAATGGAAGCCTGCGGTGAATTTCTATTCTAAATTTAAACACTAATCTTATGTCAATTGCCGACAATTTCCGTCATCGCACGAAAAACATCCCTTACCATCCAAACTATCTAGATGGCTGGTATTCCTCAATATTATGGTTTTTACGGAACTGCTTCATATTGCCTCAATATGAAATGGACTGTCCTTACCAATTAAAACGAGAAAGACTAAGAGCTGTTTAAGAAACATTTCGCAAGGGCATTTCTTTCTCAAAGGTCAGGAATACATTTGCTTATCCTCTGGTATTCAGATTGCATTTGGTCTCGGTGACCACTGTTCATTAAGGGTCCCAATACTCGTTTGTTCCCTATATAAAAATAACATTTTTAAATTCCAAATGATCGGTATTGTAACTTACAGAAAAAACATAATAAACCTGTCAATACAGTCGAGGAAATGAAACCGCAGAAATATAGAACGAGTTATTACCTTTCAATCGATTATTTTATCTCAATCCGAGTATTCAGCTTTGCTTTGTAGCATTGTAGCTTATGGTCCCTTTCCCACATCAGAGTTTTTATCCATTTAATTTTCCCCTAAGTTTAATAGCGTGAAAATATATAACCTAAAGTGTGACGTAAGTGTAGGGCTTTTAATTAAAGAAAGAGTTTTTTTTTTAAATACGCTGTGATTGCTGACATCCTACGCCATGAAATAGTGTGTTTACGCTTTATTATATTAGTATAGATTAAAAAACATGTTGTTCTACATGTTTTTCGGCTGTGGAAACAGATAATTTGGAACCTAATTCGATTTTTCTTTGTTTACATTTATTTCACCACTAAAATTAGTTAATCTTTTGAAATTTAAAACCATATGTATTTTAGTATAAGTGCCTTTATTTTAATAGCCTTCAAATGTATAGGATTTTTATTTTTGGTAGCCAGTTTTAATATGCATTAAAATTATCGGCAAATATTACAATCGAATTATAAATAAATTAAATGTCAATTTATTTATAAAATTACTGCGTCCGATCTCCGATTTAAGTAGCTTCAACGTAAATTCATTATAAATATCAGTAATCAATTTTTTTATGCAGTAATATATTTTACTAGCTGTTCCCTTGCGGCTTCATCCGCATTAAATTATGAAAATTTTATTTTATTGTTTACATTTGTCAAAAAATCTTGATTCCTTGATGTTGGCAGCATCTTATGGTCTCTTTCCCACATTAGGGTTTTTATCCAAAATATTTACCCCCTAAGTTTAATAGCGTGAAAATATATAGCCTAAAGCGTGACGTAAGTGTAGGGCTTTTTATTAAAAAAAGAATTATTCAAAAATATGCTGTAATTGCTGACATCTTAGGCAACAAAGAAGTGTGTGTTTACGCTTTATTATAATAGTATAGATTAACATGTAACTGAATAGCGGTTTACTACGATTTTGCGCAATACCACTAACAAGATGTCTAAGACAATCTACATTAAAAATAAAGAAATAACATTTTGTAAATAAAATTATAACATTAATGCAACAAATAAAAACTCAAAGAGATCAAAACATTGACGAAAAACAGGTATTTTATTTTACACTCCAAAACAACGACGCCTAAATGAATGTGGCAGTTTTAATATTAGCTGATGTCGCTAGCTTCGATTACGAAGAATTTATATCAGTATTTAGTAATAAATATAGCCTATATTACTCAGTGATAATTTAGCTTTATAATAGTGAAAGTATTTTTAAATCGGTTCAGTAGTTTTGGAGTTTATTCATTTTTACTAATTCCGTAGCCTGGTAAGGAAAAGACAACATTGTAAATAAAAAATTCAAATGCAACAAAATTAACATTTCATTACCGGCTTGTGAAATTAGAAAGGCAAAATTGTAGACTACATAAGAATATGAGAAGTATGCACATTGGTATGTACATAAGAACAAAGAAATTTGTATTACAAATATGGTATACAAATTTCGGAATAATTAGGGACAATCAAGCATCACTAAGAGTATGGATAAAAAAATGAAAGCATATATGCAAAGATCCTTATTCTAAGATTTTATTAAGAGTATTAAAGAACTTTTTATGGTTTGTAAATTACATTCAATGTAAGTAAAAATGTCAATTAAAGAAATCTAAAAACAAATTAATATGTTCAACATATTAGAACAGCAGAAAAATAAACTCAAACTACTGTGATTTTATTGTTTTTAGAATATATCTCCTGTCTGTGGAGTCTTCTAATCGTGGACGTATCTCTATAGAAAAATGAATAAAAAGATAATAATCGTTGCACTGGACGTATTTCAAGTCATAAGCGGTCGTGATTCACGAGTTTCTATTAATTTGAACTATTCAAAGAAACTTTAATGATAAAAAACGTATTTATCTAATAGTCAAACAAATAGATAACTTGTAGATGTTTCATATTATTGAATATAATCAGTCATACAGTCCAACATAAAATTGTACTTGGCAAGTTTCCGCAGCATCAAAATTTCCATTGATCAGAGTCTGTGTTTGGTAATTAGAAAAGTTTTTAGATTTTAAATTGTAAAATGTACAACCGTCTTACTTCTAAGACCTGTATGCGTGTTTTATTTAAAACTGTATGTTCATGTATATTCTCTGTATTCATGAAATGAAAACGCTTTCGCCTGTAAACTGCACATCCGCTCGTCTGAGATAGTTTTCATCCCAACAATACATTTGCATTTCTTCCACTGGCAGCGGTATACCTTCTACATGAATACAGGAAAAAATACATCGCTTCTTATTTAAATTTAACATGAATTTATAAGAATTATTTAAACTTGATTAGTTTTTCATTAATGTACAGAATAACACATTTTCACTTAAATTAAATTGTAATGTATATTTTTAACTAACAATAAACAAAGTCAAGCGCCAAAAGCTTGGGCTCCGTACTACTGATCTTGCGGTCGAGGGTTCGAATCCCGCCATTCGACTATTGTCTAAAGCTTAGTTGGAATGGTTTAAGGAAATATTAGTATTACTAACAAAAATTTACTAATATTTTATTAAAAAAATTACAATAAACTACAACTACAATATCCTAAATACAAGAGCGTAAATTCTTTTATTTCGTCACACACACGTCACAGAAAACATTTCTATGTGGTAGTTAATAAATGCTATACAAACAAAACACTAATTTTAGAAAGCTTAATTTAGTTTGCAAAATTATAACTGGAACAATAAAATGTATTCTAGGTATATCTTAAATGTTAACTATATCAGTTACGTAGAAATAGAATGCAGTTTTATAAACTAATCAAACAAAACACTCATTTGCAAGATAAACTAAGTCGAACTCTTCTATTGACTTTGCTTCCGTAACTTATCTGTACAATTTCGTTACAAATGTCACTTTTATTCATATGGTATGTAGCTTGCGGGCTTATGAAAGATAATTGTCGTTGCTGCTAGATTAACTTGTTAACTTAGATGACATAACTTGTCTAACTTAAAGTACCAATTTGTGTTTTCATTTTATTCTAAAACAAGGTCGAATTGGGACTTGATTAGGTTTTGAAAACCACATGTAGGAAAACTTTAAAAACATTTTTATAATATTCAAAGGCCGATGAATTCTTGGATAAGTTTTTTTTATTGCATTAGATTTTAAAAAACATAGTTGTCTATGACATCATCAATAAAATTGCACTTGTACTTGTTACTTTTAAATGAGCTTGTAACTTAAATAAAAGTCAAAGTAATATCAATAAGATTAGTAGAATGAAACCATTCCTGATAAACCGATGTCTTTAATTTATTTATAGAAATAATCTTTACTTTTTAAATAATAACACAACTTTAAGTGACTATATTCAGTGTACCCTTTTTGCTTAGAAAACACCGACTCTATCATAAATGCGTCTAAAGTGGTTCACAGACATCGCTTAAGTAAGACAAACTTACTCGACTTTGTATATAAAAGTAAGTTAAGTGAGGTTTTATTTAAAAAAAGTTATATGATATGTCTGTTTGAAATTATTTAAATCTAACTCAGTTCTACTTTGAAATAACAAATATTTGAGGAAAAAAAATCCTGCAAAATATATCAGATTTATCTGTTTTTAGATGCTTTTGCAAAGCATATAAATAATTTATTGGTTGCGATTATTTTTTTATTTTCCCGTCATCAAACATTAATCTTGACTCTTGACAAATTAGAGTTCTTTCTGTTATATCTTCTAAATGAATAAGATATAATAATATATCAAAAGAAACAAATTAACTTCCGATGTATTTACTTATAAAATAAATATTCAATCCAATTCACTAAAAATATATATATGCAACCCCTTTTATTTATCCAATTTAATATTGTTTCAATAAGTACCCACTGCCTAAAACATCCACCTTATGGATCGTTAACTCCATTTTTTTCGAAAGAAAATGCAAGAACGGAAATACATTCATTTACAAGTTAAGTTAATACTTAATTCGTCATAATCTGATATAAAAATCATTAATTACTTATATGAATTTTTCGATTAACTTGTAAAAATTCATTTACGTAGCTGCTACGGCGTAAAATAGACCAAATCTGACGTCTGAGTTTTATTCGTAGTACTACGTATTGCTACGAATAAAGCTACGTGACTAAATATGAAAATGATACATACCACTTAGTGCAATTAAGCACAAAAACGCGTCCTTCTAGCGATTTGATATGGGGATGAAATAAACATACCCCTTGTCAAAATGACAAAGGGTTGTGTACAATATAAGAATTCTGAAGAAGAATTAACTACATTATTTTAACATCAATTGATTCCTTACTTTTCTTTGTGTTTTAGCTACTCAACTATCCAGTTCAAAATGTCGTCATCAAGGCTGCACGGAAAGAGTTCAGGCTTCACCGGACTTTTGGTCCTATTGGTTATCGTATGTCTCGTACAAAGTGCTACAGGTGAGTTTTATTCATAATACTTTTTGTATACTGTACATTATTGTATGTGACGTCACTGAATATAGGTGTCATATTTTAGTGTGTGTGTGTGTGTTGTATATTATACCTTCTGCACTAAAATAATTCGATCACACATCCATCTTTATCTAAGGACCTATAGCTACTCGTTGGAGGCGACGTCCAGCCTTTTTGACATAATTTACCTCAGTCACAGAATGTGAAGCAACCAGACTATCTCAAGATCACATTAATATTTTAAATATGAAAGTATACACGCATGTCTGTTACGACGTACACGACACTGCATAAAATAGTCTGTAAGAACACATGGGTTACTTAGAATGTACGCACACCTTGACTAAACTATCCCACAGTTATGCGTCCAACTGTTAAGTTGCACAAACCAAAAATTGAGTAGTGAACGCTCCATATAAGCTCATAGAAATAAAAGCAAGGCTAAGATATTTTAATTCTGTACGGACAAGATCAGAGGCAAAATCTAGTCTAAAAGTTGAGTACAGTTTAGTACATGACAGAAGAAACCATAAAACAATTTTCACGTAGCAAAATAATAGTAACATGATTACTAAATAACTTTGTTACTTCTGACGTGTAGTATTTGATTTGGTGACCTCTAACTTGCGGGAACTACCAACTTGTTTATACTTCGACACTTTGCTGCTAATCGTTTTGATTCGATAACAATAGTTTTAGAAACATTTTTTTATATTTTACTGGTTAATATTAATATCCCAAATAGATATATTAAGTTGTTTTCTCTATTTCGCGTAACGTAAAGACATTAAAATTATAGAATTTTAAATACAAATTATGTAATTAAATGAACAATAAGACTGATAGAAAATATTATTTAAAAATGTTATATAGCGTTTTGGCTCTTCCGGGGAAGCTAGTGCAAGAGCCAAGGCTCTCATGAAATGTATTTTTTAAGAGTGTAATAATAAAGCATTTACTTATTGTACAAGTGTTTAGTTAAAAATCACAATCACATAAAACAATATTTAAGATATAATATTCATTTAAATTAAAAAAGAGGTTCCATTAAATTATTAAAATAGATATTTTCATTAAAATAATTTACACAAAAACAACTAAAAATAACTTATTCATTTAAAAACAATAAAATCAAATTATGAATCGTCTCTCGAAATATCTTTAACGAGGATTCGAGTATCTTAAGCAAATGCTAAAATAATATAAACAAAATAATAAAGCAAGATATTGAAGCCAATTAATATTTTGTGGAGATTTCTAATTCGTTACGCCACAATACATCTTTTATACACTTCAAATTAATATTATTTCTATTATATTAAAACAATTGTTTACAATAAATAAGTACTTAATTTACAATCTAAAGTACAATGACCTTACATTTTAACTAGTATACGGCTTGAAGTATTTTCTTCAAATTTTAAGGCCATAACAGACGCACAGTTGTACCTGAAGAATCGAACTGTTCAGTTAAAACTGTCAGAAATGAGCTTATGTATCAGGCTTTAAGTAAAAAACAAATGTAATCAATTTTGTTTAGAAAAAAAAAGAGCGGTACCGGTACCACTTCACAGTGTTAGTGCCCGCTTTAACATCTTAGCACGAATGGGCCGTCCGGCGTATTACCACGACCACACAGAAGACAGGCGTGAAATGGAAGGATGGACGTGCCGGCGGCCTAATTTAAGTCCCTTGCTCTTTACCACCCTTTTATTATAAAGAGAGGATGGGAAGGAGAAGTGTATTTGACGGTGGATGAGATTCATAGGAAGGGGAAATATCCTCTTTATATGCGGCAACGCATCTGCAATTGCGGACGTCTATGGGCAGCGGTCGCTTCGCCATTTTGGCGGATTCAGGTGGCCGCTTACTCGTTTGCCACGATATGTTATAAAAAAAAGGTATGCTTACAATCTGAGATTGGCAGTTAGTTAAAAAAATACTGATAACATTACTTGTGAACAAAAAGAAAGTTTCTAACCGTAAAAAAAATTATTATATACCTAATTGAAGTTTATTTAAGTATTTATGAGTTATAAATCTGATTTCTTCGCTAAGCTGAGTCGTAAATTACGCTAATGTTTGCCGGAGATATTAAACTCAGCTTAACGCCGCAACATAAAAATATGACCGATAGACAAATATTTGGCGATGTCGGCAAATGTTCCGTCACTTGTGAACATTTAATTTGATGTCTGGCGTCAGTTACGAATTCAAACGTAAACCCTTCTTTATGTTAATGCTTATATTCTTACACTAGCTGTTGCTCGCGACTTCTTCCGCGTGTAATTTGAAAATATAGCCTATGTTACTCGGCGATAAAGTATCTTTAAAGGTGAAAGAATTTTTTAAATCAGCCTCACAGATTTTGAGCTATTTCAATACATACAAATACAAATCGTTCCTCTTTATATTAGTAAAGGTAACAAACATTACTTACTTAGTTACATTCGTTTCACAAGTTAGTAGCAACTTTACATACCAGGAAATAATCGTAGATTAACAAGCTATTTGAATAAAAAAAACATAGTTAAATTCCTTCATTGAGTAGCTGGAATTAAACTGTTCTAGGTCACGTTATAATTCTGGGAAGGATTTTTACAACGAATAAATGAACGTGTAGTAAATGAAACATTTATAGATCGTGTGATAAAATTTATTATAAAGGTCATGAACTATGCTAGTAAATTAACCACTTATGATGGCTTCACACGAGGGCAGTAAGGTGATGCAGAGCAGTAATCTATACCCTAGACAAAGTGACTTTCAATTAGTGATATCGCTAGTTAAATCGACAATATATGTCAAAATGTATAGGAATGAATACTTAACAAACACGTGACTTATCGAATGTTACTGTCGGTTCTATAGTTTTTTGACTTTTCAAACTTACTTTGTTAGTTACTTTGTCTAAGGGCTGCTCTTCTTAGCATATGCGTTTAAACAATAGCAGTACTGCAGCTTACTGGATTGTTATTTCTACCCTCGTGTGAAACAAGTTAATTCCTTCAACAGGTCAGTGCAGTGACGTATTGGGGTAGGTCGATAATTGCAACACAGGAACAATTTACATTTATAATGCGGCTTTGAAATATGATTAAATGTTAACTGGAGTACTATATGCATTACTAGTTTGTATTTTATAAATTGTAGATTCATTGTTAAAGTTTAAACAATTCAAAGCACAATCATCTTCAGCATTAGAGTATTTAAATAATAAAGAAAGAGTTGTTAAAAAGAAACTAATCAACTTTCGTATTTCAAGTATTTAAAAGCTAAATGCAATAGCAATTTTACTTAAGTTTCTCACGTTTTATTCTATACAATTGCTTTTGTTTTATTCAAACTAAAAATTGACAATAAATGTGAAATAAGTCGATAATAGCAAACTGATGTAATAAGTATTGTCTAAGAAATTGAAAATACACGATCACGTAAATTATAAAGGAAACTTTTTAAAGGAAGAAGAACGTAAACTCTTGGGACTTAACCTGTTATTGTATTATTGAAGTAGACGTCAAAATGATTACCCACAGACTACAGACCACACAATCGTCTTACTGTGACGTCATATTACGACACAATTCAATTTAACAAGATTGCAATTCTAAAAGCATTTTACAAAGCCGATTGAAGATGAAATTATTGTACTGTCATATAAGTTTTCATTGTTCTGTACTGTTAAGAATCTTAAAGTTAAAACGACGTTTGCAAATAAAAATACTTCTTTCTCCTAATTAATATAAACTTATTCAAACCTTACGTATTCTTGTGAAAATTGTGTTTTAATTTTTTTTATATTAACATGGTCGATAGAGTAATAAATTACAGACACATCGATTCCAAAGTATACATCTGATCCACAGAGCAGCGAATTAATAGAGGTAGCAAATCCGCAAGCCTTATAGAGAAAGTCAACGGGTGGCGCAGTCAACGCGGAGGTATGTCAGAGCATGCCTATGTCGTTATGTTGTTACTTTCTATCGTACTAAATTGTTAACTCCTTATGATTGGAAACTGCATTTTAGTACTCTTCTGAAGTGATTATGTTGTTACTGGAGTAAATGGTTACTGAAAATTCTAATAACAAATCAATTTTATTGTTTAATGTTCATATATAAATTACATTGTCTTATATATGTGTGTAATAAAAAATATATAAAGAGCGTTCCAATTTTAAACAGGCATTTATGTTTTTTAGTCAAGTGTTGAAATTATTTTTGTATGGATTAGGCATGTGCTTTTTCTGTAAATACACTTGGAGAATATTTATTGCACCGTCGTAGATTAGATGTTGACAAAGCACCGTTGTTTTGATGTTAATAAATATGGCTGTTATATTTGCTACCTCTGTTGTTTAATACTCTACGCTTTTACTTCCTAGGAGCTTGTGTGTTCTACTAAACGATTATCATGTTAAAAGTACATTAATTGTTGTTTTAACGACAAATTGTAAAACGCATGTTGCATAAGGAATAATAATTGTTGTTCATGGAAGTACACTAGGGGTCGTTTTTTTTAATTCATAGAAATTTTATTAACATAGGAAGGTTGAAGGCTAAATCGTATAATGTGTATGGAAATTTTCCTATAACGTTGATTATTTTTTACAGTTTTATGGCACTGGAGTCCTCCTTTATTTTGTCATACCAATTATCATATCTTTAATTTCTTATTTTTATATATAGTACATTTTACATGATTTTTTTTTTCAAAAAAAATTAAAACATATTACATAAAAAAATAGAAGTCCACCGGCTGCGGAATCCGATCACTCAAGCAACCAGTGGTCAGGGCTGCAGAGACAAGAACCTCCTCACTATTCGTGCCGTTTCTAAAATAACCGCCTTTTGAATCGGGCCCTTAATCCAACTGTCTAGCGAGAACTTCTTGAGGTGTTGGTCGAAGCTCTTTGCTCGATATACTAGCTTGTTTTACTATTACTAATTGTACTAAAATCTATTGGTTAAATAAAATTAATTGGATAGATAAAAAGTAACATAATATTTGTAAGGATACAAACATCGGCGTCTGATAAACATAAAAAAAAATTATAATAAATAAAATTTTCATTAAAATAAATTTCAATTACGCTTACGTTCAATTATAATGTAATTAATATTGTAGATTGGTGTAAATGTAAACTAACCCAATTATTATGGACGCAAATGTATTTATGAACATGCGAAGTCGTCGTTAATATATTTATACGCTATCATCTCAGTGATCAGTTGACAATTATCTACATACAACCGATTCGCCCTGGATATGCGTATATTAAGGACAACGATGCTCGCAACTTCGCCCGCGTGAAATAAAAAAAAATGAGAAAAAGTATAGACTAAGTTACTCACTGATAACGTAGCTTTCTAATGGTGAAAGAATTTCCGAAATCGGTCAGGTAGTTTTTGAGTTATTTCAATACATACAAAAATACAAAAGTACAAATCTCTCCACTTTATAATATTAGTATAGATATACTCGTAGATATATGCAATATTTTTGACAGCGTCATTTATCATGCCATAGTTTGATTATATCATGCCAAGATTGATAACAAAAAAAACGGGCTACATTTTTTTTGCTACAAACCTCATACTAAATGTCTACATTTTGGGTACCACTTGAAATAACAATAGACCATTGGACAACAAAGATCGCCTCAATAATTTTAACAACCGGTAAACAAAAGGTAATTGTTTGGAAATTAATAATTTCACAAGACTTAATAGAAGGACGGTTTTTAAGTCTGTTAAATTTTCACGGTGTATTATTAAGTAAGAAAAAGGTTTGTTAATCAGTATTTAAATATTACAATACAAAATAGACACAAACAACAATACGGAAGAACAGCAAGTGAACAATGATAGCTTATTTATAAATGAAAAAAAAATAGCTGACAAGAAGTATGAATATACCAAAGAGGTTGCATACTGGCCACCGAGACGAGCATTAAAAAAAATATAGTAAAAACAGAAGAAGAAAATGAAGCGTATGTAGTAAGATGTAATTTTGCAGAGTCATCTTACTAATATTATAAATGCGAAAGTTTAGATGGATGGATGTTTGTTAGAGTTTGTAGCCTAATTGGTTAAACGGATCTCAATGAAATTTGGCATAGACGTAGAGGATAGACTGGAAGAGCACATTGGCTAGTAACTTTTGTTTTTTTTGAACTCCACGCGGAGTCGCGGGCGAATTAGTATTCTAAATGTGAAAAGAAATTTAAATAAAGTTGTTTTGATTTAAGATATAGATATATTGTCCTAAAAATGTGTACGATATTCAACTGTCAACCTACAAATGTGGTTAGCAATTTGATGCGAATAGATTCTCAATACGAGCATATAGGGCTCTTAAGCAAGTATGTTGAAGGTTTATTGCTTATGATGGTATACTCCGATCACATTAAGTGGACACTCCCGTCTAATGCATCACGCATTTACGATAGTCCCTTAACGATATCGGATTGAAACGTTATTGTAGATCAAAGTTACAAAGTATAGTTTCATCATTATTAAACTGCCGCATTCCTTTGAGAAAACGACTCTTTGTTTATTTCTGGCAGTTTTAAATGCACTTAATAAATCAGGACTTAACATTAGAATGTGCGAGAAAGTATTAATAAGTCATCGATTGAATTATAAGACTAGCTTTCGCACGCGACTCCTTCCGCGCGGTATAAAAAAAACAAATGTAAGTAGCCTATGTGTTCTTCAAGACTATCCTCTACATCTATACCAAATTTTATCAAAATCCGTTCAGCCGTTTAGGCTACAAACTCTAACAAACAACCATCCATACATCTAAACTTTCGCATTTATAATACTAGTATGATCTGTTGATATACTTTACGCCCCATGCAAAAATCAAACACTTTTTGAAGTTATGAATAGTCGCTGGCAAGTTTTAGTACAAGACCCCCCCTGCAGTAGTTTTCAATATAACGATTCTTTGCTTTGCATTTTATGATATACGATATGGAATTACATTAAAAAATAAAATGCATACATGTTCTTGATCTTGGATTTCTTAGAAAATGGTACATAAAAGCATACAGTTCACCGTTGACCTGTAAAAGCTCAACAAAAGCTTGATTTGAAGCTCTGTACTTTCGCACTATTAAATATTTTTCTTTGAACATGTATTCTTTCTAAACAATGCAAGATGAAGACGTATAGGAAATAGTTTTCCTTCATTGTTCTTTGTTATATAGTAGTTAAGATTATCTTTTATGTAAAGTTTATTCAGAACTAAAATAAAATGTCATCATCACCAGCTCACTATATGTCGATTACAAGTCAAGTGCTTAAACCTCTGAGCCACCAACGCTTTGAAATAAAATGTATTGAAGAATAACTAAGACTGAATAGTTATGTTACATTTTGGAATACCAATGAATTGAAGGACTTTTTATATCAGACGAAACATATATAATAAAAATAAAATATAAATCCATTTACCTTTTTACTTACTTACCTTTTTATTTACATCTTTTTTTTATTCGAAGAAAATGTGAAATAAAGTTGTTGCTGCAGTGAGAACTAACTATTAAAGTTTCTGTTATTTGATATTTAATTATGAAATTTTATTTCATTTCAGGATCCTGTTTAAGCTATGGACATTCTTGTTGGGGAGGTAAGTTGATGATTTGAACATACGTATATTTTAATGTGAAATTTGTATGAAAAGATATTTTCTACGTAAGCTCCAAAATTGCTTAACAGATATCGATGTCAGTTAAGTCGAAACTAGTCAGTTTATTTTAATCCTAGACGAAGTCGGGAAATATATCTATACTATTGAAATAAAGCGTAAACACACACTTCTTTGTTGACTAAGATGTCAGCAATTACAGCATATTTTTGAATAATTCTTATCCTAATAAAAAGCCCTACACTTACGTCACTTTAGGCTATATATTTTCACGACGTTAAACTTAGGGGTAAATATTTTGGATAAAAACCCTAATGTAAGAAAGAGACATTAGTTGTTGCCGACATCAAGGAAACAAGATTGCCAAGTTTTGTCATGTCATTTGCAATTGACAATTTGACACATGTAAACAATAAAATAATTTTATGGTGATGAAATCGTACGGGAACATCTACTGTGAGATGACAGACATAAATAACTACTTTCATAAGTTTTCACAATTAAATAATTTTTTGGGTATTCGTTACTTATGGTTGTATTACTGAAGCGTAAATTACTAGTGTTAATAACTTCTAAACTCCACATAAATCATGTATAACATAACTCTATTAAAACATACTAAAGTATCACCACAAAGTTATAATTATGCATACGTATAACTTTTGAATCCCAAACTAAAACAAGATAATTAAAACAGGGACCAAAAATTTATTATTTTCCTTCGAACATATCAAAATTTAAAGTATACGAAATGTTTTTAATGTATTTTAAATTCAAAATAATGTAATAGTTAGGAACGATTTAAAAAAAATAACTGTGTAGATTACATCTAAGATAACGTCTTTAAAACTATGTAATACCTTACCCCGATCAACCATTAATAATATAGTATTTTTGATCTAAAAATAATTTGAAATTATCTAAGCATCTTAGTAGGATTTGAAAATTTTATCTATCATTTAAAGAACGATGGTGTTCAATACGAATCTATCTTAAAGATCGATTGTTAGTTTACGTAGTTACTTTTAGTATAGAACACATCATATTTCCTCCTTATCCTACTCCCGTAGGGTCGATATATCCAGTTTTCCACCTCTACATAACTATCATACGTTATCTCAGTCATCACTCCCTTCGTCATGTCATCTTTCACGCAATCCATCCCTCTCTTTCTAAGTCTACCTCTACCGGTGTATCCACACTTAATAACGTTCTTCTTATTAGAAAAAACCAAAGAGATTAAAATATACGAATATATAGAGTAGGCATTTTTCACAAAATCTCAATAACGCTATGTATTGATAGATCCTCAAGTTTCGTAAAATATTTTATTCAAACACACGAGGTGGCACTAAACCTGACAACTGATCAGATTTCAGAGAAAGTCCCGGTGAAATTTTATTCACTGCCTCGTCTATATATGTACATCTTAAACTAGCTGTTCCCGTGCGGCTTCATCCGTATTAAATTATGAAAATTTTATTTTTTTGTTTACATTTGTTAAATTATCAATAGCAAAAGTTAAAATGACATGACATGACATGACAAACCTTAGCAATGTTTCTTTCTTGATGTTGGCAGCAACTTATGGTCTCGTTCCCACAGTAGGGTTTTTATCCAAAATATTTACCCCTATAAGTTTAATGGCGTGAAAATATATAGCCTAAAGCATGACGTAAATGTAGGGCTTTTTATTAAAAATAGAATCATTCAAAAATATGCTGTAATTCTTAACATCTTAGGCAACAAAGAAGTGTGTGTTTACGCTTTATTATAATAGTATAGATGTCTTTGTAGAAAATATATCTAAATAACAATCAGCTTCATGTACGTAATATTTAGTATACAAATACGATAGACTGCATTATCACTTCAACGCGCACATGATATCGACAATATTGGATTCCTTCTAATCCCGGATCACCGACCGTATGTCTTTGTTCCTATAATTAAGTCACAGTAACAAGTAACAAATTTTATATAACAAAAAAACATACAGACGACTTGAGTACCTTCTTTTGGGAAGTCGGTCAAAAATATAAGTACTTCTAATCTACAAAAAAAACTACAGGGTATGTTAATGTGTGCTTCTTTATTATTCTTTTGCGATATTCAGCTCTACCTAAATATTTATTTAATTATACATTATTAAGTCTTTTTAATAATAAAGTAGATATTTTTTTATATAAACAAAAGGTTGTCTAATACTTTTCTTTACTTTTATTTGCATCAACTTAAAAAATAAACAATTGTTCCGTTACATAGAACGAAAAGCCCGTGTTCTAAGCCCAAAAGATCCTTTTTACCCTGTTTTATTTAGCCTTTCTACCCTCAATTACAATTTAACTGAAGCATCGAACTGTTCAGTTAAAACTGTGTGTTTGTATGCAAAACTATATAACTAACTATATACATATGTATGCAAACTGTTTCTCTCGACTTCGCCCGCGTGAAATAAAAAACTATAGCCTATGTTACTCATAGATAAATTACCTTTCTGACGGTAAAGGAATTTTCAAAATTGGCATAGTAGTTTTTGAGTTATTTCTATACATACAAAAATATAAATAATTCCTCTTTATAATATTAGTATAGATAACAGCACAGTTTAATTGACAGTTATAAATTTTCCCAAACATGCACTGTTTTATCAAAACCAATCGACTGCTGTCAAATCAACTGAGTGTATCTACCGAGCTTAATACCTGTGTAAACTCACGGTTACATTGTTATGTATTGTGAGCACACAGTATCAACACAGTTGTATCTATTACGCAGTGTGCCGTGGATTTTTATCAAAGGATTATGTTCTTCTGATATAATGGTTACTCTACTATCAGTGCTTAAGTTAACCCTTGTTTAATTGTTAGTTTTGTTATTATCAACTCATTATAAGTTATTTTTTCTCAATATTTGTTGTTTTATTATTTTTGTCCTTTTTTGGGTTAATTATTTTGACAACTGCTTACTATTTTTTTTAATAAGAAACTTGATAGATTTAATCTATGTAAATTGAGAATAATATTTTCCCGTCTTTTAGTGATATCGTGTACTCAATCTACACTAAGGGACGGTTTAGTGTAATTTCCTTTATTCTTGTGACGTTGTAATCCATGTCATACCTAAAATGACATTGGATTTATGTGAGGGTAATTAAAAATATAACCCATCCCCTGCGGCTAGAGGGATGAATATTAATGATAAAAATGAGAGGAAAATACAATGTCGTTAAAATGGAAGCTTAATGGATTTTTAACATAACGAATTTAATAATGAATAAATTACATTTGGACCAAACCATAAAGAAATAACAAAATACGGTTAATTTTATTTTTTACGTTTACTTTTTGTTCTGTATTTTTTTTTATTTTATCTCACTTTTTTTAACATATAATTAATAAGAATTGTAACTTTCAGCTCACGGCAAGCGGTCGGGAAAATCTCTCTCCAGCGCTCCCGACTGGTATCTAACTAGGATCCTGCGCAGTATGGCTGCCAACTCTGAAATGGTAAGACGTATTTTTAATATAAAAACACATAACAAATCATTGTAATCATCTTTTAAGAAAAAAAAATAAGACTTGTATACAACGCCATCTATGTTTAAAATAGAACTACATACTACTAACGTAGGACTTAAACCAGTGATACTAAAAGAAAAATATATAAAATTTTTAACGAATTTGAATTAGATCTTTATTTTAATTTACTTCGTATTTTACACACTATAGAACCCTATTAATACTTACATTTTACAACATTGTTGTCTTTTGTGGACAACGCCATCTATATTTTAAATTGTGAATTAAAATTCCAGAACCGTTCCCGTCACGACGAAGCAAAGAACTCCGAACTCAACGACATCTTGCGGATGGAAGTAGCTGACGATGCATCTCCTGTAAACTCCCAAATGTAAGGAAAAATATGAGTTTACTTTTAAAGTGTGCCTGTATGGTGGCGCTAGTTGTAATGTCAAAACATTTTTTCCAAATTCAAATTGCTTTAATGAAACAGCAATGAAACTAAAATAATGGTTTTTTATTACTTTCTGTATGTCTTATTTATTTCATATACTTTGTGTTAAAGATTCGACAACGCGGCCTCTCCTATTGTGGTACGATCGAGGAACATGGAAGCCAAGCCGATGCTGGACGACAACATGCTCGCCAACATGAAGATGTGGCAACTACTGGTAAGAAATAACATTAATTTCATAGCTATTTTAGACATGAAATCTTAGTAATCACACTAAATAAATATGAAAGTTTAGACAGATGGATGGATGTTTGTTAGAAGGTATCTCCTGAACGGCTTAACAGATCTCTATAAAATTTACCAAAGATGTAGAGTAAAGTCTGGAAGAAGACATAGGCTATTTACTTTTGCTTTTTTATCTAGTTACAACATATAGAATGGTTTGTGCGTGAAATGAAACTGCAAAACGTATGTTTTCATTAAACGCAATTGCAGATGCGGTGCCAACCCTCCTAAAGAAGACATTTCCCTTTCCTATGGGTCTCCTCCACCGTCATGGACTCAATTTGTCTGTTTTTTTAGTATACCGATTTCAGTCTTATTAGTAGAGTTAATTTATTTACTATTGTCTTTTATTCTGTGAAATAAAGACTTGTAGCTTTAAGTAAAATAATTTCTTTGTATTATTTTCCAGAGGCAGACGTCAAACGATAAATGAATACCTATAATAGCCAAATGGACTGACGTTCAAAAATATGAAATAAAACATGAATTTAATTAAATTGTATAATCTAATGAAATTGTTACCTGAAGTTTTGTTTTTATTTAATACTCTAAAATATTCTATGGAAATTGTCAGTTGTAAGGCTGGGTTACAATTGACGGTAGCTTGTAAAATATAGTGCGTAAGATAAGTTGTGCCATTTCATATAAATATGTCATCATCATCATCATCAACAGCCTTTATCTGCCCACTGGACATAGCCCTTCCCCAATGCCTTCCACAAAATGCGGTCCTCCGCTTTTCGCATCCAACGACTTCCCGCCGTGCACTAAGTCGTCGGTCCACCTGGAGGGAGGACGCCCCATGTTCCTGGTCTCCGTGGCCTCCATTCTAGGACTTTCCTTCCCCACCTGGCGTCTCTAGATCGACAGATATGACCGGCCCATTCTACTACCGGCCCCGTCTACTTTAGTTCTCTGTCGAATTATATCGTTCCGGATTTTATCCCTTAGAGAGTTACCGAGCATAGTCCTCTCCATCGCCCGTTGTGCGACTCTTAACTTATGGGCCCACCCCACCGTCAGTGTCCAGGTCTCCGCGCCATATAAATATGTGTATTTAATTAAATAAAGTATTTATTATTTCACTGTATTATTGTATTATTTCATTATACTCCCTTTTTACTCTTTTCTCGCTCAATGATAATCTATATTTAGTTACGAATGGTTAAAGCACTAAAGAGATTTTGATTGTCTTTTGGTAAGATATTCTGGGGATTAAGGTTTGAACCGAACTAAAACATAAAAATAGACTTTTGACTATATTTTTAACTAGAAAAAAAGGTAACTTATCTCATTTCTTACTGGCTGTTTCTTGCGACTTTGTCCGCTTGGTTATTATAATGATAACTTAGTTTTTTAATGGTGAATGAATTATTGAAATCGGCCCAGTAGTTTTTGAGTTATACCAATACATATAAAATACAAAAATGCAAATCTTTCCTCTTTATAATATTAGAAAAGGTTGACATATTTGAGTCGTTACTTAAAAATACGTGCTGTAAAAGTTTATACAGCTATTTTGTATCAAAATAATTATCTCAACAATGTTAACCATTAAAGTAATAAATTCTCATAATTGAGGTCCACAATTTAGCGGTCGACCATTCAAATGTCATTTAACTTTGTAACATCTTCCACACAAATATACAAAGTCATAAAGGCCTGAACATACAATTTTGCAGCCGAAACATAAAGGTGGGTTTTCACTAAAAGCATTGTTATATCCTCAAGAGAGGGCTCTAATTGCACTAACTAGCGAATGAAGATAGGCTTAAAATAAAAGCTTAAAGCTAGAAAAAAATTTTTTCAAAATTTTTCATTGATTTAAACGTTACAACTTTTTTTAATTTCCGAAATTTTTTTTTACCAATTTTTTTTATAATAATGCAATTCAAGTTTATTTAAGTGTTATTTATTAACATCAACGGAAATGGCATTTTTGTCGTAATATCTGAGATTTGCGTCCTTATTCTGTTATTGTTATCCGCTAACTGTTTTACATTAAGCCTGAATACGTTTCAAGGTTCTTTAGAGTTAAGTTGGCTTCTTTGAGAGCGGAGGCGTTTCCTTGCTTGTTGCATATCTATTTATATTTATTTCACAAGCTAATTGTTGACTTCTAGAATACTTGAGGTGTTTTCAACGTTAATGCTGCTATTTTACTGCTATTTTCTGTAATATTTTTTTAATAATATAAGGTGGCAAACGAGCAAGCGACCTGAATCCGCCAAAATGACGAAGCGACCACTGCCCATAGACATCTGCAATTGCAAATGCGTTGCCTACCCTTAAACAAAGGAGAAGACGCACATAAAGAAGATATTTCCCCTTCATACGTGTCTCCTCCGCAGTCAAATCCACTTTCCCTTCCCATCCTTGCCTTATAAGAGGGACTTTAATTGGGCCTCCAATTACTCTTTACTTTTACCAACCTAATAAAAATCCATTTCCTAAAATAACATAATATCGATAACAGAAAAATCTATTCGACAAATTCTTGGTTACATTATTTCCTAATCATAGTAATATTTATGCGGATGTTTGAATGGATGGATGTTTGTTACTACATAATTTTTCAAAACCACTTAAAAGATCCTGTTAATTGACACAGATGTAGAAGTCTGGAAGAATACATAGGCTACTTGTTTAATTACGCGCAGACGAAGTCACGGACAAAAGCTAGTTTGAATTGATGGATGTTTGTTACTACATATTTTCAAAACCACTTAATAGATCCTGTTAAAATTTGGCACAGATGTAGATGTCTGGAAGAACACATAGGCTTATAATTTTTTTTTTTAATTACGGGCAAACAAAGTCACGGACAAGAGCTAGTAGAGATAACAAAGTAAGCAATTTAATGCATCACTTGAAGAAAACTATAAAAAAACCTTTTTAAACAATTCCCTAAGATCAATATTAACTCGATATGTTACAAAGGTACTGTAAAAAGTAGCTTTTTGTGAGTTTAACTCCCACTTGAATAAAACCCTTCAGGATATATTTATCTTAAGTTTGAGTTCAACAAAGAAAATTGATTCTTCACAAGACCATTTTGGCCATAGCTTAAGATAATTATCGTAGTTTTTAAATATAAATTTGATCTGTAATAAAAAAATAGCAAAGAAATTTTATTCTAATAACGTTTAGATTTATTTTTTCAACGTCTTCAGTGGGTAGGGAATTTAGTTCTTTGACTATGCCAAACTCAATTTGCAGTGATGATTTCAAAAGAATTTTTTAAGTGTATCTCACACGTGTACAAAGTCGAACAATAAAGGTTAACGCATACTTGTCTAACCGGTACCTTGACGTCGCCGATTGAGCAAGTAATATTATTTTGTTAACAAAACGTTATGTCGAGGCGACGGCGAGTACCGCGGCGATCGTGAAACGGGTGCCAAATGAGTAAGGAGTGGACGAATACGCGTTAACCTTTAAAGTAGGAAATGGTTAAATATTCCTTTATCCTGGTTCAGGGACTATCTATTTCGGTTCCACTGTCACCAAATTAACTTGATTAGCTTTTAAGTAATTTAAATTTAGTGCTTTTAACTAAATATAGACGTTTCAGTCCTTTGTTACTTGAACAGGAAAGGCAAAGTTTCAGAAGAAAGTTACTACTGAAAGATTAAGTAGGAGTATGTTTTATCAAAATTTATATTAATTGATTACTTTAAAGTGTAATTTAAGTTAAACTAAGTAATAAGTCAATGTTAAATGCTCAGAATTCAATCATAAGTTATACATAACTAATGTTTGAACCATTTGAAATTGACATATACTAAGTGTTACAAAAACTACAGTTCTGAAATCAAACCAAGAGTTTGTACGATTAAGATTAATGGAGGTTAACATACACTAAGGAATTCCCTTAGTGGTCAATTAAAGAATGGGAATACGGCGGTAAAAACTATAATCTATATAACTCTATACAAGAGAAAGTCGTGTTTGTTACACTATTTATAACTCAAGAAGGGCTTTACCGATATGGATTAAAATTGGTAAGGAGGTAGCTTAGAGCCAGGAGACGGACATAGGATACTATTTATTCCGTTTCACTCTCTCGGTAAAATTTAGCACAGAGGTTGAGGATAGTCTGGAAGAACACATAGGGTATTTACTTTTGTTTTTTTAATTCCACGCGGACGGAGTCGCGGGCGAAAGCTAATAAATGACAGTTCATTATTTCTTAAATTAAACTTACTTAAAGACTTACCTTACAACTTACGTTTTTTATTGTAAATTTGTTAAGATTTATATTAGTGTTCTAAAACAAAAAAAAAACTAGCACTAAGACGGAAGAACCCTGGCTGCTACAAGACGGGCCTAGAGCCTAGTGTAGGAACCAGGCGATCGACCACAATTGTATTAAAACAAATTTTGTAACTTTATAAATAAATCTTTTAAATCTTAAATCTTTAAATAGAACAGACGATTAATCTGTTTCATTTCTGTTTATGAGTGAGAAATAATTAATTAGAAGTGAACTAGAAATATGATTCTACAAAGTCGAATGCATTTTCAACTTTCAAATAATTGCTTATATTAATTACTTAGAAAATTAAACTACAAGAATGGAAAAAAGTTATTTGTGATTGTTTACCAGTGGATAAAATATCATTATTATTTTGAAATACTTACTTTTGATTTTTAATTTGTTTTTATATGTACCATTTGGTAGATAGATTAATAAATTTGTTAATCGAGTTTAGAAAACACAAAATGTTACTGCGATTTTTTTGAAATTAAATTTATTCAACTACTAATTTTAGAGGACTATCATTCGCCAGCGACTTCGTCCTCTTGGAGATAAAAATGAAAAATTAAGTCCTGTGGTCTTCTAGGATATAATCCTAGATCTCTACATCTATGCCAAATTTCGAAATCCGTTCAGCGGTTCGGGCAAACTAACAAACATCCATCTAAATTAACATTTACAATATTAATAAAATAAACATATCTTTACAGTTTAATGAATATGACACAATAGAACGGAATAATTACAATCTCAATAGTTCTTAAGCTGTAGTACCACTGGGCATGCAATTATTTGCTAGCGTGACCCAGTCGCGAACATTACCCGCTGTTTGAGAAGCGACTCCGTTTTAATATCACGTAAAAGCTGGTCATTGTTTTTTTCCGTTTAAGTTATCTTTAAAATATCTTGAAACATTTCTATGCAATTTTATTTAATTGTTGTGTATTAAATTAGAAATCTATAAATATAAATATGTAATGAGGAAATGACACAGTTTTTTTCTTTTTTTTACATCCTCCGCCAAAGTCATTTGTTTGAATTCTTTCCGTAAACAAAAATGGTAGGAAGAGTACTAAAATTTGGCAATCAAATAAACTGTTTTCGTATTTTGATAGCAATAGTAACAATTATTTGTTTAAATTAACAGCCACAGCGATGCGGAATGCAGCGACTGAAGTGTGGGAACGTACGTAAATCCGATTACTGCTAACGAAGCTGTTGATATGTTGAAGTGACTACAAGTAAACTACCGGAACTGTACCTGTACAAATTGCACTGACTAGCTTTCGCCTGCGACTCCCTCTGCATGGAATTAATAAAACAAAAGTAGTCTATATGTTCTGGACTATGCTCTACATCTGTGCCAATCATCCAAATGAGTTCAGCCGTAGGCGGCAAACTCTAACATCCATCCATCCATTCGCAACTGTAATATTATTAACATGTACGTGACGTGAGATGTAATACTTATTTGGAGTTATTGAAGTAGATTTTAAGGATTGAATATTTGCTTAAAAAGGTCCAGCCTATCAAGATGGGTTCAAGATAGGAGAGTCTATTGCATGAAACATTTACTCCGTAGATAAGATATGATATTAGGCCATTCTCCTTGCTTAAATTAATATAACTAAATCTATGATTTGTAAGAAAACTAATATTGTCTCAGCCTTTAAATATAAAAACTGTAGTGTAAATATGGCTTTATAATATGCTAGTTGTTCCCGTGCGACTTAATCCGCGTGAAATTATAAAAATTTTATTGTTTACATTTGTCAAATTATCAATTACAAATGTCAAAATGACACGACATGATAACAACCTTGCTTCCTTGATGTTGGCAGCGACTTATGGTCTCTTTCCCACATTACGGTTTTTATCCAAAATATTTACCCCTAAGTTTAATGGCGTTAAAACATATAGCCTAAAGAGTGGCGCAAGTGTAGTGCTTTTTATTAAAAAATCATTATTCACAAATATGCTGTAATTGCTGACTTCTTAGGCAACAAAGAAGTGTGTGTTTACGCTTTATTATAATAGCTTTTTTTTAAATAATATCAGAGACTTAGACCACCATGTTAAATCTAACTTTTGAATTTATTTTTATTTCCAAAGTGTTCACGTTTCTTTTTCAAACCCGCCATAGTCCTTTAATTTGAACTGAACAGTCGAACTGTGCGCTTGTAGACAAAACTTCAACTGTCTAATGTTCGGTTTCCCAGATACATTTAACCATTCGTTAGTGTTTTTGATTCGATGACCTTATGTAATGTGTTACCGAACTACGTAACCTATGTTTTACTGCGTTGAAACATAGGTCTTTAACGCTAATGAGTCAATAGGTAATGTAATAAAAAATAAATGAAAACTTTAGAAACCCAGCATAAGCAAAAACTCTAAACCAAACAGTTTTCAGTTTCGCCTACACACGTAAGTTTTAACCGCTCAGTTCTGTTGAGTTGAACTAAAAGTGTAAAGCTGGCGGTTAGCATGTATAAAATATTGAATTCAATTAGATGTGAAAGTTTAGATGGATGGATGGATGGATGGATGTTTGTAAGAGTTTATACCCTAAAAGGCTGAACGGATCTAGATGAAATTTCGCACAGATATACGGGATAGTCTGGAAGAACACATAGGCTACTTTCTTTTGTTTTTATTAATACCACGCGGACGGAGTCACGGGCGGAAGCTAGTATACAGTAATTGTTAGTTTATTGTAATGTCTTTCGCAAATTCCTGGCAACTTAAAAAAATACTTAGTTGCCATTAATTATAACGAGGAACGAGAAAATAGAAATTCAGTAACAGTCCTACAATTCAATTTTCGTTGCATTTGTATTTCAAAATAAAAATAAAAATGGTCCCGTTTGCAGTGAGTGTTATAATTGGATTTTGTTTTTAAATTGTACTTAAATGTTGGGAACAAATGGATAAGATTTGTTTTTAATTTTTTTTTTTATATAATAAAGAGGGGCAAACGAGCGTCGAGAACATCAAGGTGGTCAGCGACGCCCATGGACATCCGCAATACCAGAGGAACTACAGATGCGATGCCGGCCTTTGAGGAAATAATAGGCTCGTTTTTTGAAGGAAAAAAAATTGTTGTTAAATTTTTTAGCTAATGACTTGACACGAAATATATATGCATAGTAATTAAAAATAACTTCTAGCTTCATGACTCTGTTTGAAGTAGGCTAAGAAACTGCAATAACCTAAGTTATTCCAAGAAGTCTTTATTAAATTAATAATAAATAATATTATAATAATATAATAATTACAATAAACTAGTTCAAGGAATACGCAGTAATAAATCGTCTTTTCGTCCAGTCCTAAATAAAAACGTACGCATTGTAGTATTTCGAGTTTAAAATTAATTTGAGTAACCGTTCATTTTAAAGAACCTATATTATTTTCTAAGTAGTTTCTTATTTCCTCTTGAAGAAATGAAAAAATTAACAATTTTATTTAACACTTAAAAGATGTAAAAACATCGAAACCTCTGAAAAGTAATGATTAATTTCCGGAATATGAATTTTTGCGGCACAAAAACAGCGTACGATAGAGTCCAGCGGTTGACAGCTTCACAAAAAAATGCAAGATTGGGCACAGAACAATGTAACCTCCGCTTTTGTATTCAAAAACTACCTATCGTAATAAAAATAATATACGTTTACACTTTATTCGTATAGTTTAAAGAAAACTTGATTGAAAGTATCAACTACGAAAGTTTTTTTAATTATAATATTAACCGTCACAGCTTTAGAAGAGCTTATTTTCCCGAAGAGCGCTTTAAGCTAGGTATAAAATGTAATCTGAAATAATCACAACAATGAGTTAAAATCCTTTAACTTCTTCGAGATAAAAACCAGATCAGTTTTGTATAAATAATGGAAATATTTATCCGTAATAAGATGTAAAAATATTTAAACAAAACTATACTATCCAATAGCTTTTACCTGCGACTTCACACGCGTAAAAAAAAAGACTTAGTAAGACTGTATCAAATCTCTACGAGATCCGTAGAGATGTTTCGGAGACTCAAGAAACAACCATCAACACTATATCTAAACAGTCTAGCATGTACAATTAGAGAGAAGCTAAAAAGTAAGAATCTTACTAACATTATAAATGTTTAGTTGGATGGATGTTTGTTAGAGCTGATAGCCTAAACGGCTGAACGGATCACCATGAAATTTTGGCATAGATGTAGGATACCCACTTTTGTTTTTTTTTTTTAGTTCGACGCGGACAGAATCGCGTACGAGAGCTAGTATAAAATATGGTTAACACAGTAACAATAGAATAAAGCACTTAAACAATGACTTTCAAAACAAATGAAGTGTTAACTTGATTAAAAGACAAAAGACGGCTGAGTATTAAGAGCCTGCTATCAAATATTACATGCATTGTATCTGTGCTCAAACATACGATATCCATACGCTTCTCTTAATACGTAAAATAACAAATACAATGGTATATTGTTATAAGATAACGGTTTCATAGTTTTGAATAATGTATGGCAAAAATTATTAACAACAAAGTACGAAAAATAATACCTTGGGATCTAAGCTTTTAAAGCTTAAATATAATATTACTAATTCGCCCGCGACTCCGTCCGTGTGTGATAAAAAAAATTAAGTAGCCTATATGTTATTTCAGACTGTACTCTACATCTATGCCATATTTCATCTAGATCCGTTTCGCGGTTTAGGCTACAAACTCTAACAAACATCCATCCATCTAAACTTTTTTTTTGTAATATTAGTAAAACTGTAATAGATAATCTCTCTTAGTTCAGGCAAACGGTAAATAATAGATTTCATAAAATATGGAAACGCCTACCTTTAGAGATGGACCATGATCGCTGTTTCACGTGGCCAAAGATCGTTTGTGATCCTTCGTATGTCGAATAATCGTGTTTTTATTTGTATTTCTTTGTTCAACATAATATAAGATCCCATTTCAGTTGGATTAGAATTCTTTTATATTATCTTTGTTGCAAAATTCCACAAATTAATCCCTCAGGTTGTGCTTATACTAAAAAAGCTAAAAACTCTTACTAATATTATAAATGCGAAAATATTGATGCATGTTTCTTAACTGATCTAATTAGTTGAAATTTGTCACAAATGTAGAATAGTCTAGAATACAAAGGCTGCTTACTAAGATTTTGTTTTCATTTCGCTCGGATGAATTCTCATGCAAAATGCAGTAGATAATAATATTAACAACTTCGATAGAAGTTTAAATCTATACTAATATAAAAAAGCGTAAAAACACACTACATTGTGGCGTAAGATGTCAGCCATCACAGCATATTTTTTTGTAATTCTTTTTATAATAAAAAGCTCTAAAATTACGCTACGCTTTAGGCTATATACTTTCACGCTATTAAACTTAGAGGATAAAAAAAATGGATAAAAACCCTTATGTGGGAAAGAGACATCTAGGAAGTAGGGTTGCCGTGGTTTGTTCTCATGTCATGTCATTTATACATTTGCAATTGATAATTTGACAAATGTAAAACAATAAAATAAAAATTTTCATAAAATGCGGATGAAGCCTAAAACTTGATGTAGAACAAGAAAAAAATTAAAAACAAATTACGTTATGTAACCATTTATTGATACATTACATACATTCTTATTGAGAAAACATCATAAAGATATAATAATTTCTATTAAAACACGTAAATGATGGTAAACTTATGTCATATTAAAACGACTAGATTCTAATACTTGGTGTCATAGAGTAACAAATTGAAATCAGGTACATAAATCATAGATCATGTAAAATCAGAGGATTACATTTGATTGTTAGGTAGAATATTCTCGAAAACATCTTAAATATAGAATAATAAAACAGAAATAAAATAACATCCAGCCTTATTAAATTATAAGAAAATTACAGAATTAGGGAAATTCCTCATAGTATACCCAGCCTTGGTAAGTCTTGAACAATGACAATAAAGTGAAGATAACTAAAACGTAAAGAAATGTTTTGGAAGAATTTCTATAATTGACGGCAAAGTTTATAACTATACTAATAAGATTTTAAAATCTTAGAATAGAATTACATTATACACTATAATTTATAGGCTTTCTTTAAATATTCCTTATATGAATTTGAAGTAAGCTTGCTTTTAAGAACTAAAATTTAATTGCAATAATTGGAAGATAAAAAAACAAAAGGTACAAAAAAATCCATTAGACTGTACAGTTAAAAGTAGTGTCTATTCTTCGATGAGGGTCAGTTTATCTTTGACGAAAATTTGAATGAACCAATAAAAAGTTATATGAAAACAAGCTCACTTCGCACAACACACTCGAGAGTGAAAGAGAGGGTAATAGTTCTGGCATTTACAGGGTCTCGATAAAGTATCCGTCGTCGTTGTTTTGTGATCGCCTGTAGTTCTCCATCTGGAAAGAGTAGAAAAGTAAGTCCTTGTATCCCTTAATATCTGTCATCTATACTTCCATACTAACAATCTAAAAACTACTGGACCCATTTCAAAAATTCTTTCACTATTAAAAGTTACGTTACCACTAAATAACATAGGCTTTTTTTTATTCCCCACCGACATAGTTGCAAGCTACAACTAGTTTTCTATATTCTCATTGTATGTATTATTTTACGTCACGCTTAAAATCATAACTACCACTGTACCCATAATATTTCTTTATTATTTATTACAAAGTATCCTAACTTAACGTACGATCATCGTAAAGCGACTCCTAGCCATAACTTCTTGCTTATCTTATTGTTATTTTTAACTTACCCAATGCTTCACAATGTTCCTAAGCTTGTACTTAACCACATCACGGGCAACGTTGTTGTCATCTCTTTCATACGCACCTAAAAGAAAAAAGATACAGTTATAATATTACAAACCAATCCAATACAAAATTAACGAAAGATAATTCATCCATGGTTAAGAAGTAAGAATTGAAGAATAGAACATCTGGATTTCTGAATTTAATAAAAAATTATATTGACACTTTATTTCCAAAACAAGTAATAAAAGGTGTTATGTAGAAATAGTTGATGATATCTACCTCCATCTCTGATAGGAATAATGTCATCACCAGCGGGCAGCAGACCGCTGTAACCGGAGCGCGGGTATCCAGGATGCGGAGGCGTCTCCTCCTGTCCCAACTGGCGACGTTCCAGTAAACCAGCGCTGGAGCCCTGAGAATCAAACAGTATGTCATTAAGAAAGGGTAGAACGGGGAATAGATTTTTTTATGGTATGGGGATGATAGGTGGAGGAAAATCACATGTAATAAGAATTTTAGTTATGAATGTGGAAGTACATCGGTAAAAGTAGGTCTAGAATGAGATGGATGGATTGTATGAAAGTTGGTATGATCAAGAAGAGAAGGACGACTGGGATGATAGAAAAAAGATTCACCTGAAAGACGGAAACCTGTTTATTTCACAGAAGAAAGGAAGGATTATCATAATGAGAAAGAGGATAGATACTAGGACCTTCTTTTTCTTTATATCTTCACACATTAATGGCCGCTGTAACCTTTACTGGTACTTGAATTATTACTTACGTCCATCATTGAATTATCGCTTGATCTCTTGCCGTGTCCTCCAAAGCAAGAATGGCCGAAAGCAGAGCATCCACCTTCAAACAAAAGACGTATGTATCTATACAAGAAATTTTATGGTTAAAAAAATTTTAATGAAGTTAGATCGAACATTTTAACCATAAAGGTATTCTAAAAATGTTATCAAATTCGCGCGAATTCCTATTTTCGTCTGTGGTCACAAGCGTTTGTCTTTTCGTTCTAGTGTAGAATTGGGCGTTCAGTTTGCACAAGGATCGTACGTTGTCGTCCATCCGTTTGCTTTGTGGCCGTTTAGTCAACGTTTTAACGAACGAATGACGTCACGTAGTCAGACGTAAGTAACTTTCGTCACGAGACACATGAAATTCAGATATTTAAAAATAAGGAATATTTCTTTGAAACGCTGTTTTCACGGAAAGTTCTCTTGAGAAGATCATGAGTGTCGCTCGCAGCCCAGCAGCAACTTTGGGAATCGAAAAATTTAAAATATAAATAAAACCATCACTTAAAAGACCATATTTATTGTAATTGCCCTTCTTACCTAGATCATTGTCTGTCGAAGTCGATTAGTTGCCTTGAGGAATCGATTTCAATTCTTTTAATCAAAATAATGCTACATTTATTTTACAACTTAAAATTTGCTTTAAGCCTTTATGTACTATTTATATAGTACATGAAAGGTCGTATTTATAAAGAAAGTCGATAAAAAATCTACAATCCTATGCTCGTAGTAAACCAAGTTGGATGTCGTCTCATTTTCCGGTACTTACGACATGATAGGTCGCCGCTTGAATGAGGAAATGAACCGGCTGTAATCTCGCTCCGTACAACTTGTTGGATTATTTGATTACAGTTTTAAAGTTGAACTCTTCACGTAAATTATGCTAATATGTAATTTTTTCTTCATTAAGTTGGTGACAAAAATGCCTTTAAATTAGAGACCTTAGAATTTTTTTTATTTCTTCCTTTGCCATATGTATTTTTAGGAAAGTTGGATTTTTCCGTTGTAAAAATTAGTGTATTTAGATTTATCACGAGGACTAACTGCAACATACGGAAATGTAAATTTTAACGGAATTTAAAGTTTAAGAGTGCCTTTCCAATTAAAAATTAAACACACTGTTATATTTTTAAATGGCGTTTCTGCGTTCATCTGTAAAATTCCTTGATTTGTCAAATTAAATTGTCAAGACAGATTTACAAGATAATTATACTCTTGACACTGGTCCAATCCGCTAAGGGACAGCCATAGACAAGAAGCTGAACTAAGGTAAGCTAAGCTATGCTGCAGCTGAGCTAAGCTGGATGCCTAGTTTTAATCCCTTTTCCTTTCCACCCTTTTCCTGAGAGGAAAAGATGGGAAGGTAAAGTGGATTTGACGGTGGGGGAGATGCATAAGAAGAAGGAATGTCCTCTTTATGTACGTCTCCTCCTCTGTCGATTAAGGGTAGGCAACACATCTGCAATTGTGGATGTTTATTGGCAGCGGTCGCTTTCTTACGGTGGATTCAGGTGGCCGCTTGCTCGTTTGCCAACTTATATTGTATAAAAAAAAAAAAAACTGTACTGTACTCTTAGTGCAGCAATTTTAAATTGTACTCTTAGCAATACAGTAGCATGTACAATAAACGTGTCATGAAATGTATAATTTCGATGTCACAAATATTCAATGTTAGGTATTCGAGCGCCAGTGTGAATTCCACTTATTAAATTTGTGTCCGCAACGATTCCACGTGAACCGTTCTGATCGGATTGTGTGCATACTAAACCTTGTTATTGCACGGAGGAATGTTTGTCACTAGAAATACGTGTATTTATAACCTATTTAGATACTAAATGTACAGGTATTTCGGCGCAAATAAATTTGGAAATGCAAGTTGACAAACCAAATGTACTAACGGATTTCCACTAACAAAATACCTGTAGAAAACAGAGGTTGTAATATATTTTTTCACGCGTGTTGTCGACTTATATGTTTGTGCCTTAACCATATAGCACCACTGGACTAATCGTTACAATTTTTCTCTAGAATATTCTTAACACGGTTGCAAAAGTTTGTGTCCTAAAACATTTAAAAAATAAGATCATCATCCACGTGCATTTATCCCTTACGGAGGGTCGGCACAGTATGTGCTGTTCTTCCATACATCTCTATCAGCCGTCATATCTGAATCCACTCCTTTCTTAAGTATATCCTCTTTCACACAATCCATCCATACTTTCTTCGGTCTTCCTCTACCATTGTATTTTATTTTATTTTATTTTATTTAAAAAATAAATGAAAATAGTTAAATAGGTTTAAATAATTTTGCTTGCATTCAATTCTTAATTAAATTATATTTCTTCACTATAACTTAGTGTTAAAATAAGAAGTTATAATTAATTTTAAGTTATAAGCAATCTTACTGGTTCAATTTTTGTTGCTTTCGATGTATTTTGATTTTGCATTGCAACAACGAGTCAGTTTACATAACTATCAGGTAAATATTTTCTAAAATAAACGCATCGATATTTGCGACTCTGTGAAGCCGATCCGATTAGCTCTAACGAAGCTCGTGTGATGGAATCCACCCACGTGACGGTGCGTGCAGCTGCCGTTAAAAGGCAACATTACATGACATAAAATATAAGTCAATTTTGTTTCCGATCCATAATAAAACGAAAAATGTACATTTACAGGACACAACTTTTGGAAGAAATTGGCATCAAAATTCAAAAAGAATCAAAATGATGAAATAATTTTAACCAAACGAAACTTCGTTATTTTTAAAAAACAAACAAATTCTAGTTTTTATTTAAATTCAAAGTTTTTCGATGAAAATTGACACATGAATCCGTTCCGTAATATACTTCTGTTGCTTAAACAATATGATAATATGAAAAGTTATTAATAAATAAAAGCAATGTTTACAAATAATTGTTTTAAATAATAATTTCTAATGAAACTCGTTCATCGTATTATCACAAAGTTATTTTTAGTAAACTGAGGTAAAATCCTGACACTTGAAACTACGTCAATAAGTATTAACTTCAAGTACAAGCTGTTTCTATTCATAACTTATCTTCACCTCATTCCATTCTTTTGTTACATGAGTAATAACTTTCGTCTTAACTTTTGTATGTTTCTTGTTACATCACTTCAGATTTGATATATCGTAAAATGATAACACACGTACAATCTTTCATTTATATCGTAATATTATTAAAAGTTAATAATCTAAAAAGTGCTACTATATTCGTATAATACTCTTGCGATGATCGCGACTTCGTCCGCGTGAAATTAAAGAATATATCCTATGTTACTCTTTGATAAAGTAGTTTTTTAATAGTGAAAGAATTGAAATCGGCCCAGTCGTTTTTAAATTATTCCAATAGACACAAATCTTTCCTCTTAATATGTTAGTATAGATTTACGGTCAAAGTAACAATGGAGCCTTGTTCACTTGTAAACCTCTAAAAGCATTAAAACATTAAAGTTTTTAATTAGCGGTATATAGAAAGTTGTCCAACCTCTAATGCTTTCTGAACTTAATTGATGGATGACGGTAACTATGCATTCCAGCTAACAGTATGTGTCTCTATGATATCGATCTATCAATCATTACAAATGTACAGATTAAAAAAAAACAACTCATTTTTAAACATAAAAATTCGAATAGAGAACTATGACGTCACCATAAGATCCGAGTTCATGTACTTTTTTTAAACATGCTGTATACACGTTCTTCCTGTCCACGTGCAACTTCGTAAAATTATTGAAAAACATTTGACTGAAAAATTCTAAAATTAACTTATGTTACTAGCCCGCGGCGGTATTCCTCCGCGTCGCGCCAAAAATAGTTAGTACCGTCGAGTTACTAAATTCAGAGTTTTACCTCAGTTTACTAAAAATAACTTTATGAAGTTACGATGAACGAGTTATATTGGAAATTATGATTTAAAGCAAGCAAACATTGCTTTTATTCATTAGTATTTAACATTTTAAAGATAAGATTTATCCCAATAACTTCCAGTCTCAGAGTCGATAAATTATAAGATAAAGAAGCCCTTAATATAAATCCAGTTTGAGACCAAATAATTGATTAACAAACCATTAAATAACTCCGAGTATGGGATGCAGTTATCAGTAACAACTTTATACGACTAAACCATCGCACAACAATTGTGCGATTTTCCAATATTACGCAACCAATCCAATTGTGTAAAAATCGAGTAGTGTGCACCTCTATTTAAGTTCATACGAAACAAACCGCGACTAAACAGTTGTGCGATAGTTTAGTCAAACGTGTGCGCTCGTAATAGTTACAACTTTATAAGTTGTTACGTTATTAGTGTAATGACGTAAGTTAAGATTTGTAATAATTTGACTAGAATGATGTGGGTACAGAAGTTTTGCTTTGAAAGCATCAAAACTACTCGGAAACGTTACACTATTGTCAGACGAATTAAAATTACTCATACGTAAATCTTAAACTAAACTTCGTTTAAGAGCGGGCACATACCTTTGACTAAACTATCGTACAACTTTTTTTTTATAATATAAGGTGGTAAACAAGCAAGTGGCCACCTGAATCCACCGAAATGGAAAGCGACTACTGCCCATAGACAGCCGCAATTGCAGATGCGTTGCCTACCCTTAATTGATGGAGTAGAAGACGCACATAAAGAGGACATTTTCCCTTCTTATGCCTCTCCTTCACCGTCAAATCCACTTTTCCTTCCCATCCCCTCCTCTCAATAAAAGGGTGGGAAGGGAAAGGGACTAAGCCTCCGGCATCACACTCATTAGACGAAACATGGAATTGCTTCCACTTCACGCCTGTTTTCTGTATGGCGAGCAAGCTCATTCGTGCGAAGATGTTAAAG